TTTACGAGTATACTTAACGTTCCGACCCTATTTGGAGTATTTTTCAAAAATCAACCTAAAAATGTAAAGTAAGTTATATTCAATAAAATGGTAATACATATCTGATAAAGTGATGCTTTGAGAGTAACTGAACAATAATAAACAAATTATGACATACTCAGTGTCCAGGTTAGTTGACACTGTAAATAATAAGAATTTAAATTTAAAAAATTGTCAATCACATAAAAAGTATTCAAGTTGTTAGCTTCATCGGGTCAACTGGTATCATCAGTATCAAAGTATCAGTATCATGTGACGCATGTTATGCCCCAGGAATTGACAATGTTTCTCTCCCACTGGAACAAGAGATTCTATGTTGACCTGTACGTCGGTTTGCGGGGTTTTCCCCTCCTGGTATCTGCTCCTGTGGGCAGTACAACACCTCCACAGCCGAGACAAGCTCTAAGCTCCCGACGAAGTGGTAGTGTAGTGCAGTGTATGGAAGTAAGGGATGAGGAAAGAACAAGGAAGGGGAAGGAAAGATCGTGCGCAGCCCACTTTGTCCGACATTCGCCCGATGTATGTCGGATAAACCCCCGATCAGTGCAGCCGGCCGATCGAATCCTCCAGACAGCAGCTGAATTCGACCTCGACCCTTAGGACCTCCCGGTGAGAGGCACGCTAGCGACATCAGTTGATGCCCTGAGCCACCTTTGCCGATACATGTACATGTGTGTGTGTGTGTGTGTGTGTGTGTGTGTGTGTATGGGAAGAGATAAGGATTAGGAAGGAAAGATAGTGCTTGGCCCGTGACCTACTTTTTATGGTACTGCTCAAACTTTCACCTGGTTGAGTTCGACTTAGCTATGTAGCTAGTGTCGAGCATCCCCCACCGATGGATCTCGAAGCCGAGGGCCTCCTAATCATCGACGTTGCAGAGACAACGGCAATGAAGTTAGGCTCAAGAACCCCGGGACTTCAAATAACCCATTTTCGTGACAGGTTCAGAAGGATGTACCTGGTTTGAAATGCCTGAATCAGCAGACGGCCTAATCGTGAGTGAAGGCAGCCTGCGCATTGACAGATACCCTTGACATAAGGCCTTGGCCGTTGGCCTTGATCATGAAGACAAGGAACAGAGCTCGACAGCATCTTCACTACAAAACTTGTAAACCGTTGACAGTAGTCGCTTATGTCCCATCAACTTCAGTGCGGACCAACCACCGTTTGCTTTACGTTGGTCTCTCTCACTCCGGCGTTACCATAGAAAGATAGCACCTAAAGACGGTTTAACAAGACTGGACGTCTGCACACCATGACCATGCATAACCCAGGTACGTATTTGCTAAATCAACAACTTGCTTTGAGATATTCCAGGACTTGCGTAATGTAGTTTATTTCGGATATTACAGAGCATAATATTTACCATGTGAAACATTTAAGCTAAGAAAAACAATTGTTTTCACATTTCTTCAACAATCGGAAATAAATGGTTCCTGCCGTGTAGTTAACTTTCTACGGGGTTTTGAAACGCTTCACGGAATTCTGCATAATCTCCTCCTCTAAATAGTAACATATTTTTGATATGCAGAAAAGCAACTTGTTAGACCTGAAAGAATTCCCCCAAAAGCTACTGTAAAGTCGGCTTATCGTGACGTTTCGTCTGGAAGTCGGTTGTGATCCGAAATTCTGCATGAGTTTCCTCTCTAAGTAGCACCATATTGTTAATATCCAAAATGGTAACCAGTTGTACCTCAAAGAGTTCCCTCAGAAGCTTAAATGATGCCGGCTTAGAGATAGCCGGCTTAAAGCGACTTTTCGCCTGTGAATCGATTAGATGATCCTCTGACAACTTCTGGCGCACCTTACCAGTCCTGGCTTTTCTTCACTCGGAGAAGGCGCCTCCTCATGCTCTCACGACTACGCAGTTGTGACGGTGATGGGACTTCCCACACTACACTCTTGGCAATTAGCACGTACGGGCGAATGTGAGAAATACAAACAGTAACCGGAGGTCATATTAACAAATGAGCCACAGATAAACTAGTCAATCTTTTTTGTTTTGTGCTCTTTTCGTCAACAGGTCAGTTCTTTTTATAAACACGGTTCCATTACATCCAGAAATTGGAATTGAGATTAATTTTTTTATATATTAAATGTATATAAACTCTACCCTGGACCTCCGAAACAAGGTTATTGCAGACCTATGAAAAGGAAGTCCATTGTAATTTTTGGAGTAGGAAAACTGTCTCAAGCAATATGAAAACTTGTCTGTCCTAATATTGAAGTGCTTCGGCTGTTTTTTCACCGTCTAATAAATGCTATCGTCAAACCTTCACCGATGTGACATTCACCTCAATTAAGGAACGAAGACATGAAGAAACGAAATTTGAAGAGTGGTGAATGAATATTTTTAAGTTAAGTTAAATTAAAATATTAACTACTTTGAAATCGATATTCAGAACTATATATAACTTTATAAAATATTGAAAGTTTTTAATTATAAATTTATATGCAGGTGTCAATACTCACCCTCAACGAAAGAAAGCTGATGATAAATAGAATATATACCACTAGCAGCTGCAATAGTAAAAATTCAACTGAACAAAACTAGACGTGTTTGGAAATTTCGCAAGTACTTAGGTATCTAACAAAACCCTTAAGCACTTAGGTATCTAAATTTTCAAATGGCTGGATGATGCATAGTTTGATTTCAATATATACACACATTGGAATATAGTAATATATCATATTTTGAAACATCTCTATCGGAAGGCATAAAATTTTTAGCCCTGGCGCAAGTACCATTCCATTGGGCGGAGTGATTTTCCCTAACTGTGCACCGGTGCGCTACCTACGCACTTCGTCTTCTAGTTAAATAGAAAAACACTGCAATACTCGTAAAAATGCGTATATTAGATATACATTTTATTTAGTGATTTGAATAATTTCTCAGGTCTTTTAAATTTGATCCGAAAAACTTTATTAGTAAAACCCTGTATCATACAAATGAATTTAGCTCATTATTTAAAACATTTCACTGCGTTTTATTCCAGCTTGTGCGTGTCTAGGGACGTAATAGCTCGGATTACTCAGGTTCCCTATGAAAACTATCAGAAATAAAATAATGTACAATTTACTATGTATCACATCTTGATTCCAAATGTGTACTTGTAATTTCTCTATTACGTATCATTTTTTGTGCAAAGATGGTTTTAATATTGCGAATGTGCTAATTGTTAACCAACATAAAGGACTTACCTAGTCAACAATCAAAAACCACCAGAAAAGAAAATATGTGATATTTAGTATGTGTCACGCCTTGATTCTGTATATGAATGGGTGAAAACCAGAACAATATAAGTGACATTTTATAAATTCTAAGAAAATGGTGCTTATTTTAGGCTATATTTAAGTGGAAATGTATTTTCGAGTTTGTAATGAACAATACAAATGCCATGGTTTTAGTGATGACCCCATGACTTTACAGTGATATTGACTTAAATAAACAGATTTCATAGAATTTGTAAAATGTCACTTATACCGTTCTGGATTTCACCCATTCATATATGCTCGGATTGTCGGTAACACGAATAGTTCATGAGATAGGACGGTTTCCATAAGGTGACTGTACACAACAAAGCTGTTCTTTCAGATGCTGTTGTTGCTGGGTATGAAATGAGCTCTTGTTTTGACTAGTGTATCTCAAAACAGATAAAGAAAGGACAGAAACAGAAGAGTTTATTATGAGCTTGGAACCCAGTGTTCTCAATATTCCTCTCGCTGATTCCAAATTATTTCTCCCTCTTCTTCATCTAAAGCATGGCTTAATTGATTGGTGAAGACGAGGCCAACTGACGAGCGTTTCAGTATCTCTGTGAAAATTTTCCGGAAATCAGTGTTGCAAAAATTAAGGAAGGAATCTTCCCAAATCAGAGAGATTTTAAAAGATGATGAGTTCACACAATGATTCTAGAAGAACAGAATTGCTGGAATAGTTTTCAGGGGGTACGTGAACTAAGAGTGAAAAACAAATCATCAAATATTGTTACTGGAATCAAGAAACTTTTGTGAACATTTCAAATACTGGGCTGTAGAATGTCACTTAAGTTACACTATCTTCACTCTCATTTAGATTTCTTCCCAGATAACCTCGGTGTTGTGAGTGATGAACTAGGTGAGTGTTTCCACCGAGACATAGGGACAAAGGAGCCACCTTACCAAACATTTGGAATGACTCGAGCATGATAGATTTCTGCTGGATGTGAAACAGAGAATGTCCTTAAATAGTTCACAAGAGACGTGAGAGTTCACTTTTCTGAATAAGCTTCACTAACACCATTTATAAGGAAATAGAATATGGCCGATTTTAGTGTAAAAATTGATTCTCTATTGAGAAAAATGGTGGGTGATGGCGCAAATCTGAATACAGAATTGTAATCTGTATAATAAAAACTGGTTTTGAAGAAATGTTTATATTTCTGATGATTACAACAAGTCTCATTTTGTAAACCTTTGTTGTAGGTTCATATTTTTCGATCTCAGAAGCGCGTGCATGTACAATGAAGACATTTAACTCATTTCTTTACTAAATTACTAAACTCTTTAATTCTGCAAATCCCTCCAAATGGTTGAAAGAAAAACAAATCCTCAGAGAGTTGGGAATGGATCAAGCAACGATACCAGACTGGCGCAACTGAGGCTCTGAGAGATGGCAATGAAACGTGTGTGTGTGTGTGGGATGAGTGTGGACGGGTGGGGTAGGCGCCAGCAGGCCATTGGCGCCGAGCGAGTGCGTGTGCGTTGGAAGTTGGACCGCGGCGGATCTATCTCCCCGTCCCGGACCGGCCCTCGCTGGCCAGTTGCTCCACCAGGGGATGCGATAACCTGACCGGGCGCCGGGACGGTCGCGAGGGGGCGGTGCCCGGGCGCCGCGGCTGCAGCGCGCCCGTCGGCGCCGCCGCCCTCCGCGATGAGCGGGCCAAGGGTTGTGACGCGCTCGCGCTCTGCGCTGTCCGCAGCCTGGGGCTGGGTGGCGTCGGGTGCCCTCGCGCTCCTCTCCACGCTGGGCCTCTACCTCGTCGACCCGCTCGACCAGATCCTCTCCTGGGTGAGTACTCTATTTCTATTCATTTTCTCTCTTTTTTTTAATTTAATATTTTCCTCAGTGAACAGTAAAAACTGTATGGGGGCGCTTGACCAGATTTTCTCCTGGGTGAGTACTCTCTTTCTATTCATTATCTCTCTTTTTTTAATTTAATATTTTGCTCAGTGAACAGTGAAAACTGTATGGGGGAGAAGTACAATCAGAGCACGTTTTCTTGAGCACCAGACTAACTTCCCCACCTTTCATTCCTAAATTGTTCAATTTATTTACTTACATATTTAATGCCAAAAAATTTAAAAAAATTTATGGCGTGCTTGAGGCGAAACGTATTCTGTTCACGTTCTCGTAATATCTGGGAATATGCTTTATGATGCAAACATGTCCACGGAAATACACGTTTCTCAGTGACATTTCACTGAGGCACATATAAACAGTTACTTTCACTTTAAAATCTATAAAAATCGCACTCAGTAATGAACAATTTTCGGGAGTTAACATTTCAGAAAATGTAAATTAAGTAATTCACTGATTGCCTCAATTAAGATAATCGTTGTATTCTATCCTGTATATGAAGGGGATTATTATAAAATATGCGTATACGTATACTATTTTCTGAACTTTTTCGGTCCTTTAATACTTAATTAAAAATTACTACACTTACAGAACATCATATGTATGCAAAACCTCTTTTCAAATGGACATTGTCAGGAAAAAATTTGTAACCGTTTTTTTAATTTTTTTTAATGTTTCTGAAAACGCTCAATTTTGAGTCCAATTAAACACAAACCTTTTTGAATATCTATAAATTTCGTAAGAAGTGACTCGAAATACTTTTCTTACCAAATGCATCACATTTGAAAACATAGATGAATTTATTTACGCGAGAAATATTTAAATAAAATCCATATTGTGCAATTTGGTGATAAATTAAAAGCTTTATATGGCGTGGCGGCTATGTCATGTCATTCAATGCTTGTTATATCTATCAAAAAGATCCATGAAAAACTTAAGCAGGTTTTGAGAAAAATTTGAAAATTGCATGGATCGACAGATACACGGACGCTGATACTGTAGACAGACATACTGAAGAAATCACCTTTTCGGTATCACGGACCCCCAAAACGTTTTTTGGTTTTAAAATATAATTCCATATACAATTTCCGTTAAAAATTGATATTTAGTTTCCGTTTCATAACATAACTTTCTCTAAATCATTCGTATGAACTAAGCATGCGAATCATACGAAAGCTAAAAAAAATCAATTATTTGATTGCCAGCCTTTAGCTAGTGAAACAGACTGCTACCTGTTTGTAAGAAAGGTCAATACTAGTGTCATGTAAATTAAGAACTGCAAGAAATTCTTAAAGAATTCTGAACTTACGATTATACAGACTTCATTGTCATAGAATAGTTATTTATGCACTAAAGGAGTTATGAGGGTTAATACAAGATTTTATTTTTTTATCTTATTTTAATGATTCAGATTTACCTATTTACTAATTAACTAGACATTAACTTGACTCGGTCTTTGTCTTTTCATATTTTCCTCCAAACGATAACTTTAACTGTTCATCAACTCAACTGTTTTTACATTTCCCTCGTGACCAGGATTCTGTCGATCCAAGTTATATTGAGTTCCGTATCGAAGACAATATCAAGCAAATGTGTATCAATAAAAAATAAGTATATTCTTTTTTTCAGATACATTATTAACTAGTGGTGCTGTAGAATGGCATAGACTTTCTCCTTCTAGATAGTTTCCTAATTTGTCTAGACTGAGCTAACTTTTCAGTTTTCTCTCAATCAGCTTCTACCGATCGTCGTCTCACACACAACATTAATTTTCACATGTGAAACGAGGCATAAAGCTTTGTGTCAGGCAGTCATCATGAGTACACGAATGTGCCTTCGGCTCCAAACCCCCATATCAAAAATGCGTCGTTGAATGATTCGCATGCTAACACTTATTGATGGTATGGCATGGAAATCTGCATCAATATGCGGAAGGGTTGCACTTCTGTCACGAGTAATGATTCTTCTCGGTCGTCGTTTCCGTTCTTGCACGATCTTTTTGCGGCCGCAGCGATGCCGGAGGTTTGATGTTTTACCGGATTGTACATTCGTGAAGTGGTCGTACGGGAAAATTCCAATTTCGTCGCGACCTCGGATATGCTATGTCCCGTCTCTCTTGCGCATTGAATTGAATCAGATAATAAAATATTATTGATAAAATTAAAATAATAGGAATGAGTTGAAAACACAAATGTAAAATTCAATTACTGTATTAGTAAAAACAAGTATATGTGAGTCGCAAATCCAGTTGTAAAAAATAAAACTTATATTTTCTTTAAACACAATTTATTAACCAAAAATTAGTTATAATCAATAGTTCCTTTAAATTTAATTTAAATATATTTAATTGGCTAGTGCCCATATCCAATCTGCTGTAAGTAGGTTGTACAAATAAGGAGCATTGTAGGAAAAAGGAGGCGAATAAAATTGTATTAAAGCGAGGCATACACAATTTACTGGATATTGTACTACAATACCAATCACTTAAGAACGCAGTAACATTGCGTAAATAATTGTTGCCTCATTTATCACTTTGAAGATTAGTTTTGTGACATTGACCTCTGCTTCAATGAAAATGATAATAATTTGAATATGCGAATACTTATTGTACATTTTTCGAAATATAGTTTATTTTCATTTTAAATGAGACAGTTTTGTTTCCATCATCGAAATTCTCATGCGCTACTTTATCTGTAGGTTTACAGTGGAATTATGTAATCGCACAGAAAGAGAGGTGGTTGGTAAGTGACTGTGAAAACAGATAATGAGCAATGAAATGGCGAGCTGCCAAAGAAGAGAAATAGATAAAAGAGTCCGATACAACTTCCTTGTCCATTTTATGATAACAGTCATCTACATTAAATACCGTACGTTATCTACAGTTCCTGAACCTACATTTTACTTTCTCACTTTGGGAGTAAAGAGAAATTTAGGTATTGCTACAGAACTTTGTTGGGTATATTTTAAGGCAAAACACATATTTAGGTATTCCCTGAAACTGAAAAATTAATTTTCTTCAAAACTTCGTTGATCGGCCCGTTTGTCTGGCTATCTTAACGTAAATAAAAATGAAATAAATGTATATTATTTACTTTTATGTATGTATAACGTGTATTACGTGTATCATACTTATAATATTTAATCTTATATTGTCAAAAAAATATGTAATATTTAGTAAACACTTACAGTACAAACTTAAAAAATCTATGTCAGAATTTATTGAGATGTAGTTTGAACAATATAGTAGTGTCATTGTTCTTTTTAGTGTTTTATAAAGTTTCAGAATATGTATGAACTAAACTTTGTATTCTTAAAAGATTGTCTCAAGACTTAATAAGTAGTTTAATGTACAAGTAATGCCCATTTATCAAGAATAGTTTGTTTTTCGATTTCTTTTACGCATATTTGTCAAGTCCATAAAGTACTTAGAGAAAGCAATTAAACTGAATTGGTGGGTTTGTGTTATTATTATTATTACTATTATTATTATTATTATTATTATTATTATTATTATTATTATTATTATTATTATTATTATTACTTCTTTAATTTTCTCAACTTTCACATTGTTTATTTTGTAGAAATTCTGTGCTAGAATTCATACAATTTTACAAATATTTACTGATATGTACACCAGAGATCATTCAGAAAATAAAATATTATACAGTATTTACACTTTTACACGTATTTACATATATTTGCATAGTATTTACCCTCTTTTATATGTTTAAAAACTTCCTTGCAATACGGCAACTCACTAAAATTACTGATTTTTGTAGTTCATAATGTATTGCGTATGGTATTTTTAGTTGTAGTAGTGTTTATTACAGTTGTTTGGAATAACTCCTGTGGCTATGACGATTGTTAGGAGGCTAACTACTTCCTGTTTTCAGAGACCTTGAATATCTACGGCTAGGTCCATGTATTTTGTTAACTTATCGTGAATTTTGTTTTGTAGATTATGCGTATTGAATATTGAAACAACGACGAGGAAAGTTTTCTTTTCTTTTTTAAGCACCATTGTGATAGCTGGTCTGTTAGCTGGGATGGTTTTATTGGCGATAATGGAGGTTTTTCAAAGAACTTCAACATCTTCATTCTCAATTACTGGTGGTAGTTCTCTGTAATATGGATTGTCTTACAACAAAATGTTATTTATGTACAGAGATCTGAAGTTTGTTTCTTTATTAAGAGTTTACTGAAGCTTCTTATTTCTATGATCTGGTCCTGTATTGCAACTATAAACCCTTCTGTGTCCCGATAGAGGAGTCCTTTGGTAAGCCATGTGTTGGCTGCTTCTTTGTCAACATCTTCGGAATTGCATTGATGGCCCTCCATTCCCGTCTTAATATGCCTTATTCAAGGTCCTAGGAATATTAACAAATCTTAATTTTTCATGGTACTTCATATATTCAGTTTGAAGTTTTTAAAGATGTGGCTAAAGAATTAGATGAGTAAAAATTTTCAGTGATGTAATATTAGGTAACCGTTACAAAAGTACGAGAAAGGATATTGAAATAACACTAAACATATATGCGATTTACAGGAAAGGACTTGTATTTCCTTGAAATATGAAATTTAGAAATATGTTAAATGTATAAATTGAAGTACCTTTGCGCATGTTTGCAATATTGAACTCTCCTTTTGCTTGTCATGGTATCACTATTTTGTTAGCAATGCAGAAATATCATATCTGCCATTCCTTTATCGATGCAAATAAGTTTTCTACAACTCGGGAACGAAAACGTTTTTTTAAATTGTTAATCTCGCGCTTTTTTAAAATTTATTTTTATTTATTTTAAACTTTTACTCCTCTTTCAACTGTTTAAAGTTAAAATGATGGGAAGGGATTCTGGAACTCAAGAAAACGGGTGCAGATGATTTTCTCCCCATACGTCACATAGTTTTTACTGTTTTTTACAATAAATATAAATAAAAATAAATATAATAGATGTACGGAAACGGCTAATTCTCATTATCAATTTAAAATGTTGCGATTGCCTATAGTCTTGTGAACTGCTTGAATTGTCGATCAACGCGAACGAGGATGAAGTTATCAGTAAAGATGATTTTTCTGCGAGAAGTATGGAAACTGTTATCAAATTTTAATAAGAATTGGGTACTTTATTTATTGTGAATTAAAATATTCCATAAACGGAAAGGAGCTATATATTTTTATACACGTGATGTTGAGTTGAAGGCAAATTAATTTGAAATATTTATTTTATTTTTTATGGTAAATAATATAATTCAGAATCAACTTAATGCTTTATTTATTGACGAAAATCCACTGATGTAACTTTGATCAAGTGAAATATAACGAGTTTTTTTCCCTGTCGTTGGAACGATAATTCAACCTGTTGCAGCAAACGACGTTACAACCGGGGACGCTCGCGTACACTTTCTGGGACCAGCCCCTTGACGTGCTGTACATCCGCACCTTCATCTTCAACATCACCAACGCAGAAGCCTTCCTCAGCGGCGAGGAGAAGATGAACCTGCAGGAGATCGGCCCATTCGTCTACCGGTGAGTCTCAGCGCACACTGTGCAACGCGAAGTGCGAAAAGGTTTCAGGATAGAGCTTCGTTTATTAGGGAAGTAACAGGGACAGTTCCCAGTAAATAAACATTTTATTACTGGGGAACGGAGTTCCCAATAAATTAAAATTTGTAAGTCATTCTGAATGAATTAAAACCACTTTTCTATACCAATTCTTTTCAAGGTCAGGAGTTCAAATTATTTTATAGACAGACAAGTTGTTGTATAACTTTTCTTTATTATTCGGATTTCACATAAAGAAAATTTATGCAACAAATTATCTGTATATAAATTAATTTGAAACTCCTCATCTTCAAAAGAATTGCTAAAGAAATATTCATGAAGACAGTATATTTTCAACCTTTTATGGAATCAAACCATTTGTATTTTACTTTTTTCTTCTTTCTCGCTACGGAGTAGAAAGAAAATTATGTAAAACTGAGCGAAAATGGCGAATTTTTGACATAAAAACTCGTATTGGAGGTCCCTGGTAACAAAAAAGTCGATAGATCCAGATGCTAAATTTAGGAAAACATCCTCTATCACCTGAGTTAGTCATAATCCGTTTTGTTGGACATTGATATCGAAAATTCAAATGACGGCAACATTTCTGTATGTCCATCTGACCGTCTGTGAACAACGCTAACGGCTCAGCTGTTCAATCGATTTTCTCCAAAATTGATATTCCTCTACTTTGATCTGACTGATGTCACGGCTTCTTGAATTTGAAACTGATATTTTAGTTTTTGCAGATACTTTACATGACACTCCTAGAACATTTTCCAATTTTTTAAACAATGGCTCTATCGTTTTTTATTAAATTTTGTTGTTGAATAGTGTGAAATACTTTTAAGAGAATGGTGCAGGTCTCATGATCGTTGGAAACCATGATTTTTCGAAAAATACAAACGTTCAAAATTTTCTCGGAGTCTTTCTACAATTAAAATATTGAATATAAAGATTTATTCCTTCATGAAATCTTCTCCTTACTGATAGAATTGGAAATAAGAAAAGTGAGTAATTTTCACGTAATATTCTTATGAAAATACGGGCGAGAAAGTACAGTAATGTTTTAGCACCACCAGTTTCGTATTTTGTTGTAATTACATATTTTCCACATTTCACCTATTACCACTCACTTCTCTCACATTTCGTTACATTCTTTTGTGTTAACTCGTTGAAATGCAACGTGTTTCCCGTATTTCTGCCATCGTCTTTCTCTGAAACAAACCATTACTCTGCTTCTATGACGTCAGGACCTTCATCGTCAATTATCAACCTTCCCCCCTACTTCTCGGAAATCTACTCGGAATCAAGGATGAAGGGGTATTTGCAAAACAAAGTAATCGAAAACACGTAATAGTGTGGTAATGGCTAGTATACAATTACTTCTGAAGAGGAAGAACGTTCTCTAAACAATTTTACGACGAAACCAACGAATCTATTTTAAAATCTCATCAAGATTTATCTTCATAAATTTGGGATTGCTTGTATTGATCAATTTTAAACTCAATCGTGAATATTTCTGAACAAAATAATGACTTAAGTAACTACATATTTTCCAATAAAGTACATTTCAGTCCAATCAAACTACTCCAATAATGTACATTTCTTATTGATTACCATTGCCGTTTCTGTGAGTCAACTTGTTTGGTACATTTTGATCATATGAGTAATTGTAAAACGTGCCGGACTTCTAAATTTCATGAATTTTAGTTTCACAAGTAGAAAAAAATAACGTTAACACAACGTGGATAAGTAAATAAATACTTCAGTCATCCGTGTATGTGCTTAGTGGAGGTTAACATGTTTGTCACTAATATGCACATATAGAGATATTCTGAATTAATGTTAGTGATACATGTACACATTCTTACATTTGAAACACTGTATACACTTTCAACGTAAAAGGTCAAAATGATATCTCTGCGCCTGCGATACAGGCTCAACTTATCTTCACATTTGGGGAAACGTTCACAAAATGCGTGATTTTGTGTGTACTCAAAGTTGTGTGACAAGCTGTCATATATGCGCACGCTCCGATTGTTCGGTATTAGCAGAACAGATTGTTCAGTATAGCAGAATACTTTAGTAGATCCTTTTTTTAGTAGACGAATTTTTGAAAAATAAACACATGTCGGAAACCTTTGTAAATATTCACTATTGGATTGAAGCTCTAATCAAGTGTTTTCATCCTCTTCATACGAAAGCTAATTTCGCAAAATTTTCCGTTTTGTTTTGAACCAAGATAGTTGTTTGAAAATCATACTATTCACTGAATTGACTTGTGAAAATAAATGAAATTGAATAGTTTTTGCCTTTCCTAATTTGGCCCACTAGTGCGTAATGTAATGAGGGTATATTTTCTAGAAAGTTAACATTCGTTGAAGAAGTTCGTAAGAATTTCTAAGATTATGTCACAGTCTTGTTCGCTGGGTTGCGTCAGCCCCTGCGAACTTGGCAATGAAATCTCTGTAAAATTGAGGCCGACTGAACTTAATCTCTGAACACATTCAGGAAACGTTTGAAATATATTGTGAAAGTAAATAGAGACGCAGGATGTAATTTTAATTACGTGCGAGAAATCAGAAGGGTGTGGAGGCTGATTGCGAGTATTCAATTGAAGAAACTGTAGTTGGGGCATATCTGTAACGTTTCACTCATAAACCATTTAGCAAATGGTGTGAATAGTGTGCGGAGTAAATTGGTGGAGATATTGTTTAATTTAAGGTGTTTAACTGAAATTAGTGAAACACGACATAATTTATGGACCTATTATAATCGATTGATTAGTAATTCCGGGCGCATCAACGGTAAGGTCATTATTCCCATAAGCGTAGTCCCTATTTTATTGCGGGGGTCCTTCCCAATTTTGATGACGAGATACGGCGCCGACTTACACGTCGGCTTAAGGTTTTGTTTGTTTGTTTGTTTTTTTCAACCAAGTATCTCCCAGCCGCAGGACCCCGCCCCAGTCGGAACGGTCTCTTAAATCGCGACATGTGTATGAGGGCATGTAAGTGTGCGTGTAATTAAGGGATGAAGATAGAAAAATGAAGAGGAAGAAAAGATCGCGCACGGTCCTTGGCTTGTTTGTTAGGGTACTGCTCCAACATTGGAGCTGATCGGAAAACTACCGATCAGAGCTGCCGGCCGCTAAAATCCACCTCCAGACATCGGGGAATTCGATTTAGCTATGTAGCCGGTATCGAAAATCCTGCCACCTTCAGGGAACCGTAGGACCTCCCGGTCAGATGAACTGCAGTGCCATCAACTGATGCTCTGAGTCACCCAAGCCGATAACCTTTTTAATAATTGACGTTGTTGTAATTCTTTACCATCTTTCTGTTTTATCATTAAACTCAGCATGTATTGTTTTCAGTTACACACAGAATTGCCAGCAGAAAGTGAACCGTTTCCACAACACGGACAGCGCAGTTTGGTTCCGTATTCGAAATCCGTGGCTATCAGTGCAAGGCGGCGCTCGGGGACACGTTTTCGTCGGTGGCTTGAGCGAGGAACGTTGCGTGCGTGGGGCGTTTTTTTGTGCTTCTGCGTGGTGCGGTGGGGCGGGCGCTGGGCGGACGGGGCGGGGAACGGGGCGGACGGGGGCAGGCGGCGGATGCGCGATTGGGGCAAGCGCCCAGGGAGGGTCGGGGGCTGGCGCAAGCGCGCGCGGTCAGCGGCCGCGGTGAAAGGAGGAAGGCGGCATATGGGAGCTCCGGCGGCGCACAGGAAAACACAAGCCGCGGCCCGGCCCCGGGCGGAGCTGAGGGTGAAGGCTCATTCGCAACCCAAACATAAATATCAGCATTTCGCGTAGACGTAAAACTAACATTAGTGATAGACTGAAGTATTCACAATGTCTAATATAAACGGAAGCAAAATAAAAGATTCTATTGGCTGTGAGACATTCTAGTTTATTCTAGTTTACTATTGCATTCTAGTTTACTATTGGTTAGATGTGAGAATCGATTTCGAAGTATCGATTGTGTTCATGGCCCATGGTGTTAGTTCGTCTATCTATTTCGATACGAATTTGAGTTAACGTACTGTGACTGGTTCATTTCCTACGTTTTAGGCATAAGCACAGAAGCTTGAAGCTTGCAAGCTTGTAAGTTAACGTCTTACATGTTATGCTTATGCGAACGTATTGTGAATGAGTCCGCTTATGGACGTTGTTAACTTTTATGTTAACGCTATGTTTATGCTTATTTTTGCGTTGTGAATGGGCCTTAAGTGGGTTCGCCGGTGACACGAGCCCGTGCAAGCCGCGCCCCCTTCTCTACTCCACTTCCTACTCTTCCTACTCCTCCTTCATCTTCTTAGCCTTCCTTTTCTCATCCTTTTCCAAGTTCTCATCTCTTTTCATCATTTCTCGTCCTTCATCTTCTTATCATTCCTCTTTTTATCAATTCCCCTCCTCTTCCTTCCTTCTCTTAGCCTTCCTTCAACTCCTCCTTTCTTTTCTTCTTTTTCATCTTTTTCTTCTTCTTCGTTTTCTTCTTCTTACTTCTCTATTTCAGTTTTTTCCCTTCTCTTCATTCTAGTATTCTTTGCGCTTATGTATATTACTATTCCCAATGCCCACATATTGTATTTGAAAGAAAACTACGCAGAAGTAGGTTTTATTTGTTTCGTTAGATACCGAGGATATCGGCAAAATGTTAAAAAGTCAATGAAAATTCCATTTTCATTGATTTCCATTTTGATTAAAAATTGCAAATATTTGATATTTTTATTGTGACGTTGTTTGTAAAAAATACTTTATAATTCTAATAATAATACTTCATAAATATAATAAATTATTGTAATTGTGTATCATACTATTAGGCTTGGGAAGTGTTCTAGCCACTTTTTGGAAAACCATTTTATGTGGGGTTTTGTTGGACAGCAATGTTACAGCTGCTGCTGACTGTTACTGCTGCAGATCAGTCTGCCTTCTCATTGTCTTTCTTCTTCTATTTGTTTTCTTTTCATTTCCTTGT